CGTACAACAATAAAATAATGAAGCTATTGTCGAACCTCTTGATGTAGCAACAATGATCTACTTGGCATCTGGTAAAACCATTGCTACCCATGAAGCTATCAAACTTCTTGTACCACTGTCTAGGAGCTTGTTTTAAACCATACAAGCTCTTCTTCAACCTGCATACCAGGTTTTTCTTGCCTGCCCCTATGAAGCATTCTGGCTGCCTCATATAGATTTCTTCCTCCAAATCACCATGAAGGAAAGTTGTCTTCACATCTATTTGCTCAAGATGTAAATTCTCTGCAACTACAATTTTTAACACCAGTCTAATTGTAGATAGTTTCACGACTGGAGAGAAAATTTCATTATAGTCAATACCTTCTTTTTGTTGAAAGCCTTTGACAACCAATCTTGCTTTGTAGCGTTTGCTCCCATCATGCTCTTCTTTGATCCTGTAAATCCACTTGTTATAGAGTGCTTTCTTGCCTGGTGGTAATTTAGCTAATTCTCACGTTTGATTTGACATAAGCGAGTCCATCTCATCTTTCATGGAAGACTCCCACTTGACTGAATCCTCCACTTGCATTGCTTCATCATAGCACTCTGGTTCACCATTGTCAGTCAACAACAAGTAGTGCAAAGAAAGAGAATACCGTTGGGTTGGTTTAGGAATTCTGGAGGAGCATCTTAGTTCTGGTGTGCCTGGTTCTTCTTGAACTGCTTTAGGACTGATCTGAACATCATTTCCAGAAATCTCCTCGAACTCAGTAAATTCCTTTGTTTCAGCTTAGATTTTTGAGCTACTTGATTCTATGGTTGATCTGTCTTTGTACATCACATTCTCATTGAAAATGACATCTCTGCTTCTGATGATCTTCCGATTTTCGTAGTCCCAAAACCGGTAACCGAACTCATCACCACCGTAACCAACAAAGGCACATTTGTTGGACTTAGCATCAAGTTTACTTCTTTCAGCAGAGTCTATGTGTACATAAGAAATACAACCAAACACTCTTAAGTGTGAAAGGTTTATTTCTTTCTTGCTCCAAACTTCCTCTGGTATTCTGCCATCCAAAGGAACTGAGGGCCCACAGTTGATCAGGTAAGCTGCAGTGTTGATAGCTTCAGCCCATAGAAATTTAAGCAATCCGGCATGTATCCTCATGCTTCTGGCACGTTGATTCAGAGTTCTGTTCATGCGCTCTGCTACGCCATTCTGCTGCGGTGTCATGGGAACTGTTGTCTCCATCTTGATCCCATTGTTTGCGCAGAAATCTCTAAATCTCCTATTTTTGTACTCTCCTCCATTGTCAGACCTCAACCGCTTGACTTTCAGACCAGTCTCATTTTCTACCATGGCCTTCCATTTTCTGAAGGTATCAAAGACTTCTGATTTCTTCTTCAGAAAATAAACTCACACCTTCCTTGTAGAATCATCGATGAAGGTGACATAATATAATGAGCCTGCAAGAAATAGAACTGGAGATGGTCCCCATACATCAGTATGAACCAACTCTAACTTTGCAGCCTTGGGTGTCTTACCAATCTTTGCAAAGCTGACTTTCTTTTGTTTGCCAAAGATGCAATCCTCGCATAGTCCGACATATATATTCTTTAGATCCGACAGCTTCCCCTTTGACAAAAGTGTCTTCATCCCTTTCTCGCTCATATGGCCAAGCCTTTGGTGCCATAGGTTTGATTTTCCATCAGCATCTGCTACTGTAATGATATTCTCTAAATTTGAGGTTATATAGAGAGTACCAATTTTCTTACCACGAGCAATGACGAGTGCTCCTTTGGTAATCTTCCATTCACAGCCTGAAAAGGTTGTGCTAAATCCTTCACCATCAAGCTGTCCTACAGAAATCAAATTTCTTTTGAGGCTAGGAATATGTCTCACTCCTTTCAGCGTCCAGGTGGTCTGGTTTGGCAACTTTAGTCGGATGTCTCATTTTCCGACGATCTTCAAGGTTTCATCATCAGCTAGATGAACCTTCCCAAAATCACCACTGACATAATTTTCCATGATTTCTCGGCATGGGGTGGAGTGGAAAGATGCCCCTGAATCCAAGATCCATGATTCAATCGGACTTTTAACGCTTAGAATCATGGCATCACCTGTCTCCTCTGTCACGTTGGCAGATTCCTGTGCGTCGGTATTTTTCTTCAGTGCTCGGCAATCTCTTTTAAAGTGACCCTTCTTGCCACAATTATAATAGATAAAATCTTTCTTTCCCGTTCTGGATTTTCCCCGTCTGGATTTCGATCTGCCATGATTTGAATTTCTTTCTGAAGTTCTTCCTCTGGACTCCGTGTGCAATGCTGAGGAGGTTGATGCTTCACCCGATTCTCTCCGTCGAATTTCTTCGCTCAGTACTAGATCCCGAACATCGTCGAATTTTAATTTACTATTTCCCGACGAGCTGCTAACTGCTGTAGCAGTAGCATTCCAACTGTCTGGTAGAGATGATAAGAGAATTAAAGCTCGAACTTCATCATCGAATTCAATTTCCACTGAACTCAACTGAGTTGTGATTGTGTTGAGTTCATTTAGGTGTTGTGCCATCGATGCCCCTTCCGTCATCCGCAAATTGAATAATCGCCTCATCAAGTTCACATTGTTTGAGGCTGATGGCTTCTCATACATACTGGAGAGAGTCATCATAAGACCCGTCGTGGTCTTTTCCTTTGCTATGTTGAAAGAAACATTACGGGATAACGTCAGTCGGATAACTCCGAGGGCTTGTCTGTTGAGAAGAACCCAGTCTTCATTCTTCATGCCCTCTGGTTGATTTCCTGAGAGAGGTTGATATAGATTTTTCTGGTACAGAAAATCTTCAATCTGCATCTTCCAAATGCCAAAGTCCGCACCATCGAACTTTTCAATTTTCACATTCCCTTCGTCTGCAACCATCGCTCCCACTCGAATCTAGTTTCGTTTGGATCGTTTCTGACAATTCTTGCTAGCCACTGTGTATTAGAACACCTCCGTCGACAAGCTCGTATCGCCGACAAATTTTTTTACTATTCAGGAAATTCAATATTCACGTGAATAGTAACCTCGCAAAAAATTGACAAAATTCACAACCAAAAGCTCTGATGCCAGTTGTTGGGGAAATAAACGAGTAAACAAGTAATTTCCCTATAACCAGATTAGTGAGAATGCGAAATAAAAGCGGAAAAATAATACCCGAAATTGATAACGGAGTTCAGCCAATTGTGCTTACGTCTCCGGACTGCTGCAGATCTTTTACTAAGAGAGAAAAATTACAGGTGTTTACAAAACACTCACTACTCACAAGAAAACTCTCTAGTATTGGGAGAAATAAATGATTTTTGGGATGGTTTTGAAGCTAAATGAGATAGGGTATTTATAGTTGAAACTTAAGGACTTAATCTTGTAAATACCCTAAAGCCTAGGGATTAATTGTAATTATCCCATTATCATTTTTCAACAAACATCTACCAAACTTTGAAAAACTATTTTTCAAAAAAACATTTACCAAACTTTGAAAACCATTTTTTCAAAGTTGGTTACCAAACTTGAAAACCATTTTAATACTTTCAACAATAACTGCTTATTTTTCTCTAGTTGCCAAAATGAGGTATTTGTGGTGGCTGAACCTGGAGAACTGGCTGATAGGTTTCTACAAAGTGTCAAGGTTCACATGTTGTCGATGATGCCGAGCCAGGGCCGTAAGGGTGCATCACCTTTTGCCAATATAACAACTATCGCTGATTTGATTCACTGTAGTCCATACTTCAAAGTTGGAAACATTGGTCATAAATATATTGGACGCCAAACCCACGTGTGCATGCTTTTCTGTTTTGCTTTCAAATGAGTTTTTCTTTAATTGTTGGTTTGATGTTATCAGAATTAATGAACTGTTGTGATTTTCATGACAACTCCTTAAGGTCATGGAAGATGATCAAGAAATCGGGGCATACATGTTTCGCCGCACTGTCCCTTCTTTGCACATAACACCTGAGATGTTCGTTGGATGGTATGCACATTGCACCAGAAGTATTTGTTTATATAATTTACATTATTTTATTTATTCTTGTTCTCCGTGGATCATGAAATTTGATTCCCTGACCGAATTTCATTTTTAGCATTATATGCTGATGATACTTGGTTGAATAATGCTAGGTTGGAGCGTGGAGGAATAGGATCATAATCTGCACTGGAACTTATGGTCCCCCTGCAAATTTAATTAAGGCCTTTCTAGATTCTGGCGCCAAAGCTGTCGTATGCCCTACAGCTGAGCCCCAAGATGTGTTAATGAATGAATTCGGAGAGTATAACGTTTCGGGAAAGGGAAGGTTCAAGATCGGTGGGGAAGATCTAGAAGATGAGGAGCCAGATTTTGAAACTGAACCTGAACCCCTCAGTGCCACCAGTGACTGGGATGATCATGACTTGGAGAAGACTGCGGACCACAGTACCTATTTTTGGTAAGAAGAAGTAGAGGAACTATCAAGGTTCGCCTGGAAATTTTTTGACTCGGTATTCCATGAAGGTGCAACCGTGGGTGTTGCCCTCAAAAGCTGTCTTGCTTCCCATAGGAAGCTGAGATATTCATGCCATCTTCCGTATGTCAACTAGCTTGTCAAAATAAATCCCTAAGGGAAAATAAGAATTATATTAAGTGCATGAAAAATTACAAAAAATAAGAGGCAGCATTTGATTTTTGTAGCTTATAAGTAAACATTTGTTGCCTATCATTCATTACATGAACAACGGTACCAATTTCTACGTATTTTTACAGGAAAGATACATAGATTTATACGTTGTTCTGCTTTTGCTGTGGAAGTTGCAGATAAGAATAGACTATAGAACAGATATATTCTGATATACCGAGTCTCAGATATAGTAATTTAGTTCTACTTTTCCTTGTGCTCTCATCTCTAACATGTATTCGAACACGTATACAGTGATGTGATCATCTAAATATACGAAGAACTTAAAAAAATTAAATATATCTATATTTAAACACACATTTGTATCCGACACTTACTTCATATCTAAGTAACAGAGGATTGCTACTTAAACAATTGCACACTAAAATAGCTCATAATTATCTACACAAACAACAATGCTAGCATTTAGCTCGACAACAATTAGGTTCTGGTTTTTGTTGGTTCAGTTGTGCAATTTCTTCGATCTTCAAGATCGTTCTCCCCAGCTACGATGGCTACAAGTCACAGTCTCTTTTGAAACTTCCTTCTCTCACGGACTTAACATGCAAGTCATTGTTTCTTTGTGATTCTGCAGCAATTTTGTCATCGTCTTTTCGCTTGGCAAGAAACTCGACGGCAGTTACAACATCACCGATCAATGGCCGGCTATCAGCATCCTCCTGAAGACACATTGCTGCAACTGCAAGAGCTTGATAAAGAGCCTTTACAGGGTAATTCTCTTGGAGCAGTGGATCCGCGATCATCTTGAACTTCTGCCTATCCTTAAGTAATGGCTCTACCTGTAAAATGTAGAGGAAGAATGGAAGATAAACTTAGATTTAAGAACTTAGTACTGTAAACAAGTGATTCTAGACGCGATGAACATACCCAAGCGACCAGATTCTGTTCCTCTTCCGGCCTTTCGATATCAATAGCCCTCCTCCCTGAGATGAGCTCCATAAACACTACGCCAAAACTGTAAACATCGGATTTTGTTGTGAGCTTTCCTGTCATTGCATACTCCGGAGCACAATAGCCATAGGTCCCCATGACCCTTGTCGATACATGGTCCTTCCCTCCTGTAGGGCCTAACTTTGCAAGTCCAAAATCAGAGAGTTTGGGTTTGAAGTTCTCATCTAGTAATATGTTTGACGCTTTAAAGTCACGATAAATTATAGGCGGATCGGCAAAATCATGCAGGTATTCTAGCCCTTTCGCCGCTTCTTCAGCTACTTTCATCCTGGTATTCCAATCCAATGGCTCCTTACCTGGAGGTAAATCTAAATAAACAGACGCAATAATCATAATCCACGACAGAATTCCATTAGTAGGCTTATAAATAAGTACCGAAGAAGTGAAAAGAGTGTCATTTTAACATACCAAGAAGATGATATTCCAAAGATCCATTAGCCATGTATTCATAAACTAAAATCCTTTGATCCCCATCTGCACAATAGCCGATCAGATTCACAAGGTTCGGATGGTTAACCAGACTTAACATTAGAACCTCTGATAAGAATTCTCTGCTTCCTTGCTTTCCGTTCTTATCGAGCTGCTTCACCGCCACAATCTAAGATAAGAAATTACAAGTACAAAAATTATGAACTGAAAAAAGATGTATGTATGTATGTATGTATGTATGTATGTATGTATGTATGTATGTATGTATGTATGTATGTATGTATGTATGTATGTATGTATGTATGTATGTATGTATGTATGTATGTATGTATGTATGTATGTATGTATGTATGTATGTATGTATGTATGTATGTATGTATGTATGTATGTATGTATGTATGTATGTATGTATGTATGTATGTATGTATGTATGTATGTATGTATGTATGTATGTATGTATGTATGTATGTATGTATGTATGTATGTATGTATGTATGTATGTATTACAAAAATTATGAACTGAAAAAAGATGTATGTATGCATGTATGCATGTATGCATGTATGCATGTATGCATGTATGCATGTATGTATACTCTATCAATGTTCTCAATGTATCCTTTGTAGACCCTGCCGAATCCACCTTCCCCTATCAGACAATCTGGATTGAAGTTGTCTGTAGCAACAGCTAGTTCTCTAAATGTGAAAATATGAGCTGAAACTTGAGCTTTTCCAACTTTTTGAATCTCTTCAGCTATTTTCTGCTTGCCACTACCTGCACGTCGATCAAAATGGCCAAACAAATGTTCCTATAATTAGTAATGTTGATAACAAAACATCACACAAATCAAGTATTGTTCCCCGGGGCGCCTCTTGAAGCCACTGGCATGAACAGAAATGCACTCTGCAACGACTTCAAGAGGCACCCCGAGGATGAAATCCGGAACGTGCATCGCCCTTCACCGGTCATTCCTTAAGGCTACGGTCTTCCATTCGCTCCAGTTTCGGACCGATGAGGCATTTTAACATAAACGAGCACTACAAGATTATCTGGGATTCATTTACATCCACAAACTAAACAAATATTACCTGTTTTGGCCGACAAATTATTGGCCAAAGACCTCAATGATTTCCCATTGCTATCATTGTCATTGCCACCGATGCCATAAGCAGTCTCCTTAAGGGAACCAGAACGGTGCTGCACTTCCACTCCACAACAACAGAAACAGCCCATTCTCCTTCCCATTTTACCACTCATCCTTCCAATGCCAGAATTACTGTACATTAAAAATGGTGGCAATGAAACCAAAGTGAAGAATGGTGTGTGTTCATATAAAGCGAGGGCTATAGATGTTGGTGTAATGTTCCATTTATCATCTTGGGGTCGGTATTATCAGTTTGCTACATACAGAGAAGAGATTAACAGGAAGAAACTAAAAAGAGTCAAAAGAAATTGTTTTGAATAGGTTTGGTAGAAACAGAAAGAGCTGACGCGTTCGCTTAAATTACATTTAAACAGATTTGAAGCAAACTACCAGCAACTTTTCCATTCCATGTGTTCGGGTATATTCAATAAATAGGAAGATGGTATACCGGTTTACTATGAAGTTATAATTGTTTTTTATACATATTGGCGGGTGCATTTGAATCATGCATGTACTACCTAGATAATTATGGAATAAATTTTTCAGTTAATATTGTCATAATGTTAGAATTAGGGATCAACATTTAACGTTATCCTAATGAGTTTCGATCCGATCCAATCTTATAGATCTTTTTTTATAAAGAAAATATGATTTCAGTCGTTTTTGAAGGATAAGATCAATGAGTTTATGGTGAAAAATATTTGATCCGTATGACCTGAGAATAATAGTATAGTTGGACTTTTTATATTTAGAAATAATTATTATAATACCCATCTCTTTATTTATATATATATATATATTTGTGTTAGGGCAGATGCGATTGCAATTTTTTACCTTAAAAATTAGGTTGACTGAAACTTTCTTAAACCCGGATTGGATTGAATGGAAGGGTATTATACTCGATTCAAGTCAAGTAGAACTTACTTGTAATGTATATGAAACAAGCTTCAACTTGAATTTGAATATGTAAATCATGTAAAAGAGTTTAATTATGCGAACTTGAATAGTTCGGTTTTAATTAAAACCGGATTTAAAGTTAAATAATAATATTATTTAAATTAAAAGTAAGATTTATTTTGAATGGAACTCAAACTCAACACAACTCAATCTTAGTCCTATTTATATGAGACTCTTTAATAATAAATTACATTGGATATTTAAGTTATTTTTCTTTATTTAGAAAAGAAAGTTGTTATCTTTCTCAAGTTGTAATAAAATAAATTGAATATGAAACTTACAATTCAACCAAAATGTTTGAAGTGACTTGAAGAGGGGGGGAAACTATTTCAGATCTATTTGTAAGTATCAAAATGGCCGGTTCAATAATTAATTGTACCGAATAATCATTAACCAAAATTTTAAAATGCTTATTTATTAATTGAACCAAACTAATTCTGATTAATAAGTAATTTTTATTTAATTAAACTATGAGGGCTAAAACTAGAATTACACCTGTTTCTTTCTCCTACGTTGACTCTGCATGGTTAAAATTGGAAGGAAAACTTGCACGTGACAAAAGTGGCCCATGGGATTCATCGTACGTCATATCATCAATCAACCTCAAGCATATAACTTACCAAAGAAAAACACTATTTTGTCTCTGGCGTGTCTTTCAATTCATAAACACAATAATTGCTTTTATCAGGGGGGGATTAATAATAAATCTCTAAATCCGCAACTCCACGCCGGGAACTATCGTCGCTTCGAGAAAAAGTCAAAGCTTAAGCATTGAATCTCGACCTGAACATCGATGACGGAGCTAAATTCCCGTCAAGCTACAATTCTGGTTGGTCCTATCAGGCCGGATAGTTTCGGGTCACGTGGAGACCGGTAAGGAAGCTGTTTTGGAGAGTTGTGAGAATTTGACTAATTTCAAGATGTTTTGCTTGCGTGTTAAGCTACCATTTCTTCTCTAGGTTCGAGTTTGTATTTTGTGCACCTCAGGGTCACAAATCTTATGGTGCCGAGGAGAATACGAAGAGAAAAGAATATCGATTTGTGCTCACAGTGCCAGTATGAGGCTGTCTAGGAAAATAGTAGTATCTTATCGGTCGAGGGATAGTGACAATAACAGAGCTTGCATTTCCTAGCCCTGAATGCCGCAGCTTCGAAGTGGTTAGTACTTCCTTATCTGAAAAAGACTTCAAACTTTTGCAGGTTAACATAGTTTTCCATATAGTTTTAGTTGTCCGGGCCGGCTCTCCTTCAACTAGAGTTTGGAATGCCGGAAACTCGATCATGTATCACGTACTTAAGGTAAAGTGACTGACTATCGGTCATTAAATCGCACACTCAAATAGATTATGTCAACAAAACTTAATTTTAATGGCATATCAACAGTCGGCTAGTGGCTGCAACAACGGTGGGTTCTTGTTAAAAAAATGCCTCGTATATATTATTACTCTGCTAAACTACAATATATAGTACTGTACAAGCAATAATACAGCTAAAAATAATTGCTCCTAACTAATTCTCTAACAGCCTATTAACCAACTTCTAACAAACTAACTGATTATTTGCTATCTTAACACTCCCCCTCAAGTTGGTGGGTAAAAAACATTTGAAACCCCCAACTTGGCTGTCAAATACTCATGCTGTTGTGTTCCGAGTGCCTTTGTCAAGACATCTGCAGGCTGCTCCCTTGAGGAAATGTGTTCTGCAGTGATGAACCCTTCTTGTATCTTGTCTCTAACAAAATGGCAATCAATTTCAATGTGCTTCGTTCTCTCATGGAAGACTGGATTAGAAGCAATCTGTAATGCAGCTTTACTGTCACAAAACAACTTGGCTGGTTGATCCTGTTTCACACCTAGTTTGCTTAACAGTCCACTTAGCCAAACTAATTCTGCTGTAGTCATAGCCATACTTCTATACTCAGCTTCGGCTGAAGAACGAGCTATTGTGTTATGCTTTTTTGATTTCCACGAAATCAGGGAATTGCCAAGTTTTATACAATATCCTGTTACAGAATTCCTTGACATTGAACAAGTTGCCCAATCAGAATCACAAAAGGCAATTAGATCACACGTACTTGAGGAGTCCAGCAAAACTCCCTACCCTGGATTCTTCTTAATATATCGTACAACTCTCAAGGTTGCTTCCATATGCTCTTTTCCAGGCTGATGCATGAACTGACTTAGATGTTGTACTGAATAAGCTATGCCAGGCCTGGTGTGAGTCAAGTATATAAGCCTACCTATGAGTCTCTGAAATTGTGTCTTGTCTATCATACTTTCTTCACTATGCTTCAAGTATTTTGTATCCAAAACAACAGAAAGATTATTATTTTGTTCCAATGGCGTTAAAGCAGGCCTTGCTCCCCCTGTCCCATTATCTTCTATTAATTCCAGTGCATATTTACGCTGGTTTAATATGATCCCCTTCTTTGACCTTAATACTTCAAGTCCAAGAAAATATCTCAATTCTCCCAAGTCTTTCATTTTGAACTTAGAACTCAGTATACACTTGAGCTCTTCTATCATATCAGTATTACTTCCAGTAATTAGCAAATCGTCTACATAAACCAGCACAACAATCAACTTGTCTTCTACTCGCCTTGTAAACAACGAGTAATCATGCTTGCTCTGTTGAAAACCCGCTGATATGAGGGCTTCAGACAGCTTCTTGTTCCATTGTCTAGAAGCCTGCTTGAGTCCATATAGAGACTTTTGCAGCCGACAAACCATATGCTCCCCCTGGCTGGAAAAACCTTCTGGCAACTGCATGTAGACTTCTTCTACCAAATTTCCTTGCAAAAAAGCATTGTGAACATCCATTTTCCATAACGGCCAGTCAAAGATGGAAGCAAGAGCCAAAATCAGTCTCATAGTGGTGAGTTTAGCAATAGGAGAAAATGTCTCCACATAGTCAACCCCCTCCTTTTGATTGTACCCTTTGGCCACCAACCGAGCCTTGAATCTTTCCACCTCACCCGAAGCATGGTACTTAATTTTATAAACCCATTTGCAGCCAATGGGAACTTTACCAGAAGGAAAAGGTACCACAGTCCAAGTATTATTTAATTCCAATGCATGAATCTCTTCTCTCATGGCCTGCTGCCATTGCGGATTTTGACAAGCTTCACGATAAGTGGTGGGTTCATGAAAATGAGAAACAGAGGCTAAAAAATGTTGAGTCGGTAAAGGTAAATGAGAGTAAGAAATGTACTTAGAAATGGGATAAGCAGTAGAGGATGAAGTGGATTCGCAAATGCAAACATAATCGTTTAACCAATTTGGAGGCTTGGAGACACGAGAGGAACGTCTAGACAGAACACAATCTTGTGCTAAAGAAGGAATACTAGCCTGAGGAGAACTTGTTGAAAAATTAGATGGACTACCAGATGCACCTATTGAGACATTAGAAGGAGAAATTGATGGAATAGGTGACACATCATGAAATTCTCGGGAAGAACTAGAAGGATTATCAACAGGAGACATATTAGTTGGTATTGAAGATTCAAGAACTAGAAAATCAGAATCAGGAATATGAGAATGTGCAGGAAAAAAATGAGAAGATTCTGAAATAGGAAAATGAAAGGGAAAGATAACTTCATGGAAGACAACATCTCTACTCACAAGAAACTGCTTCGATTGAAGACTAAACAGAAGGTACCCCTTTTGAGTTGAAGAATATCCCATGAAAACACAAGGAATAACCTTAGAAGAAAACTTGTCAGAATAGTTAAGCTTGGTAGCATAACATAGACACCCAAATACCCTTAAATGAGAAAGATCAGGAACTCTATGATGAAGGGCTTCAAAAGGAGTTTTGAAATTCAAAACTGAGGAAGGTAACCGGTTTATTATATAGCAAGTTGTAGTAACACACTCTCCCCAAAACTTAATAGGAACTTTTGAGTGAAAACGAAGTGCCCTTGCAACTTTGAGAATATGCCTATGTTTGCGTTCAATAACCTCGTTTTGTTGGGGGTCCGAACGCAGGAGCTTTGGTGAAGAATTCCAAGTGAACTAAAAAACTCAGAACAATGAGAATTAAAAAATTCAGTGCCATTGTCACTACGAATTATTTGAACAACGGCTGAAAATTGAGTCTTGACAAAGATGATGAATTTTTTAAGAGATATAAT